TTTCTTTCTTTTTTTTGAGAGGCTTTTGCTACAGGGCGCATGCACTTGCCAGAAAGACAGACAGAAAGCGAGAAATCACCCCCCAGGGAGGGATGGCCACGCCACAATCCCTTCGCTTCCATTCGCCTCTTGGGATCTTGGGGACGCACACACACGCGCCTAGTGTGAGTTTAAGCCACCGAGTCTGGGACTCAAACCACAGTCGACTACATGGAAGTCCAGCGACGTAGCCATTATGCCAACTGCTGGTCCCTCTATCCCCCTATTTCCATCTTATAGTTGCTTTCTACATCCATGGGAAAATTCGTCTCCTAGAAGTGATTTTTGCCATTTTTTCTGGAAGTTCCACACTGGTACCCAAGTTTCCTATACCCCAAGTCTCCTTCTTAATGTCCCACTTGCATGGTGGCATACATCCTCTACCAGTTGAGAACTAGGCATGAGAACTAAACATCTGAACACTTCACACACTTAAAATTGTTTTATTCTACCTGTATCTTTAATTGATAATTTCACTAGGTTAAACTTTGGAATTATGCTATAATCCCTTCTAGCTTCTACTGTTGCTACTGAACACAATATGCCATTTTCATTTCTGATTATTTGAATGTGTCCTGTTTTTATTCTCTGGAATCATTTGTCTTTTCCTTCATTGGGATGCTCAAATTTCCTTTTATAACACGTAGCCACGGTGTATTCTGCTTCAGTCACTCACTTACTCACAGTAGACAACTGATGAACCCTTTCAAAGGACCATATTTCCCTCTGGGAAATTTTCCTACCGTATTTCCTTGATAATCTTCTAATTTTCCTTCCCCCCATTCAAAATTCCCATTATTCAGAAGTAAGATTTCCAAGAATGCGCTAATTAAAATTTTTTTTTCCTTCTCTGTTACCTAGCTCTTTTTTTCATTCTACTGCCTGAGTTGACTTTTTCTCTGAATCTGTTTGGTGAATTTATTTCAGTCATCATGTTTCTAATTTCTAATAACTTTTTATTTTTGAAAGTTCCCTTTCTATAGAATTCTGTCCTTGTTTTATAATATAAATAACTTCACTTAGTTCTCTGAAAATATAAACTGTTATTTTTTTTAATGTTTTATTCTGCTCCCTGCCTGGTCCCTGCTTCCTCACAGCTCTTTTTTATCTGTTATAATAGCGTATGTATCTTTCATAGTTTTCATCTAACATTTGGTCATCTCAACTCTGCTCACTTTAAAGAAAGACTTTTACCCGAGCCCCTTATTTTCTGGCTCATCTGCATTCGTGCCTTCACAAGTATCTGGTACTTACTCCTGAATCTAACCAAGGTCCGTCAACACGGACAAACGCAGTTCTCGGCTTTACCTCCATCAGTCACCTGGCTCTCTCCTGTACACTGAGCCACTTATCACTTGTCTAACTGCTTCCTGACTTCACAGGTTTTACTGATACTGCTTGTTGCTGTCATTTATGAGCTTATGCCTTTTACTTATTCTTAGTGATGTATAGTGGGGTTAGGAATAAAGGAAGTAGAGATAAATATGCATGTTCACTCTGTTCCTTTCAACCAGAGATCTCCTGGTTTTTTTTTAAGTCACGAATCCTCATGAGTTTGCTTCCATCTAAAGCACTACCACTGTAAGCCTTTCCTTTCCTTTCACTTACATCATCTGCTCTAGCTCTCCTCTACCCAAGAGGCTTTGAGATGAAATCAGCTGTCTCTGGATCCTTTTTCAAGATCTGATCAAGGTACCTCTCATCTATGGAACATTCAAGTAAGAAATAAAAACAGGATTTAAAAAAACAATGCAGAGCTAGAATATTCAGATGCACTGCCACTGGGATCAAAGAAAGACAGAGGAAAACATCTATAAAAATGCAGGCACATTTTAGCAGCTCTGTATATTTTAAACAATTATTCCTCATAGGCTGAGAGCTTTTTTCTGACATCTACAAAACAACTATGAACAAAATGTGCCATTTTATCAGGTGGTAAGAATATCAACGGACCGTCGATCTTCCTGGCCTCACTTTTAGATTTCCTGGTATGCCAGAAAGCATAAGTGGTATAGACAGGTTAGAGGAAATGAGGAAGAATGCTAGAGGATTGTGTGTTTAAAATAAGTCAAGTGTACCTCTTTCTCTTTCTCCAGATAATCTTTCAGAGAACATGTGAAGACAAATGTGTACCCTAACCAGAACAAAGGGCACACATGTTTTGAAGCGTTACTATATAGTAAAGAGAAGTCTCAGGACTTCAGGTTAAACCTGAGGGTTTCAGTAATTCTCCCTGACCCTATACAAAATCTTGCAAAAATAAAAGGAAACAGGTAAACAAATACATAAACCTACCAGAAAAAAAGATGAGAAATATTCAAAGGCTTCAGAGGATATAAAGAAGAAGAATCCTAACTGAATTAATCACTGACTAAGTGCAGGGGAAGCTAACACCAAAGAGTCAGTAAGGTGGTGTGCCAAGGGAGAAGTAAGCTGATTTGTCTCGCAGGACAACAGATAGGCTCAGAAAGTAAGAACACTGAGAATCCTGACAGTGGAGTGACAGTGGAGTGATGAGAGGCAGAAGAGGAAAAAAACTGGATGGAAATTTGCAGAATAAGCAGGCAGACTGATCGATCTCTACCTTTACTCCTGGCAGCTAAGTGACAATTCCTTCTCCACCCCCACAAAAGAAGAAAGGTACATTCTTTGGAAGAAAATAAACCAGTCATTTAAAACTCAGCCAAATCATCAATTAAGTGTAAAGACAGACACTTTGAAACTTGTAGGTCTCAAGAAATTTCCTCCGGGACCAGCAGTTAGCATAATGGCTATGTCGCTGGACTCCCATGTAGTCAACAGTGGTCCCCGCCCCAGACCTGGTGGCTTAAAACTCACGCCGGGTGCGTGTGCATGTGTGCCCAAGATCCTGAGAGGAGACTGGAGGAGAAGGGATTGCGGCGTGACCACCCCCCCGGGGGGTGATTTCACTCTCTGTCTCTCTGTCTCTGTCTGTCTGGCGAGCGCACACGCCCTATAGCAAAAACTTCTCAAAAAAAAAAATTTCCTCCAATACACAAAGCAGGAGCTCCTTCATCAAAACAAGAGTAAACCAAGAGATTAGAAGAAAGGGGTGCTAGAAAATAAGGAATCTTAAAAGGCAGGGAAGTATCCTTACTTTCAGGGTGATATTGAAGGGAAGTCCCAGGACATGAAACATTCGCAGAACTGGAGAAGAGCCACCCAGACTGGGGTAGAAGAAAAGGCGGTCTCAGGAGAAAAAGTAAGGTGAAGTCAAGAAAGAGCAGGGACCAGCAGTGAGCGTAATGGCTATGTTGCTGGACTCCCATGTAGTCAACCATGGTTCAAGTCCTGGACATGGTGGCTTAAACTCACACCAGGCATGTGTGCGTACATGCCCAAGATCCCAAGAGGAAAATGGAGGAAAAGGGAGTGTGACATGGCCATCCCCCCTGGGGGGTGATTTCTCTCTTTCTGTCTCTCTGTCTCTCTCTGTCTTTCTGGTGAGTGCACGCGCCCTAATAGCAAAAACCTCTCCAAAAAAAGAAAAAAAAAGAAATAGCAATTAACTGTTATTTCAGATCATGAGGAAAATTATATTGAGAGGTTACTGGTTAGTGTGTGGGAAAAGTTAATAAATACATAAAAGAATAAGCAAATATAAAAGAGGCAATTAGTTCCGGGAATATGATTAAAACTTGGTTAAGAAAGAAATGCAAGGGGACAGCTAGGGGCATGGTGGTTAAGGTGGCTAGATCCCATTTGGCTGACTGTGTGGTTCAAGCCCTGGACCCAGTGGCCTGAAAAACACAATGGAGCATGTGCACGTGTGCCCAGAATCTCGAGAAGAGAATGGAGAGAAGGGATTGCAGTGTGGCCATCCCTTTAGGGGGTTGATGTCTCACTTTTTCTCTCTCTGTCTCTGATGAGTGCACATACCCCATAGCAAATTAAAAAAAATAATAAATTAATTACATTAAAAAAAGAAGAAGAAATGTAATCATAGTATACTACTTAGTTCAAAGAAAAAAAGTATCTTGCATGTTTATAATAAAGTGATATTCATGAGGGATTTAAATTTGGGTCCTATATGAAAGAATGTGCTCACACATATCTTTTAATAAAGTATTTAGTATATAAACGGCTACTTACTCTTCAAATATTTAGTAGCTGCAGAATCCTGTTTAATGACTCCACAAAATACCTTGCCCAATGGAGTTGACCCAAAGCGAGAGAAGGGTTAAAAATGTGGTGAAGTCAGAGGCCTGCTGCTTGTAAAGGCAAGTCTGTCCCAACCACAAAGAATTCATGAGCATGACTGCTTCATGCCTAGTAACATGCTGTGTTCTCTGATGGGACAGCATCCTCACCAGGAAATCAGCCCTGAAGACTCCTGCATGCCATACCTCTGCTGTTAGGGGCTGAGTGTCTATCTCCCCCAAATTCACATGCTGAAGCCTTAACCCCCACCCCAGTGTGATGGTATTTAGAGACAGAGGCCATTGGGAGGTAATTAGGTTTAGATGAAGTCGTGAGGTTGGCACTTCCATGATGGGATTAGCACCCTCATATAAAGAGGAGTTCAGAGTTTGCTGCCTGCCACAGGAGGACACACAGGAAAGCAGCTGTTCATAAGCCAGGAAGAGGGCCCTCCCCAGTCACAGAATCTACAGTATCCTGATTTAGACCTCCTCATCTTCATAACTGTGAGAAGTAGATCTGTGCTAGTCTGTTACTGCAGGACAGCCCAAGCTGAGACACTGCCTAAGAACAGGAGGCTCAGAGCACTCCCTCCAGTAGATTCACCTAGGCTGCTCTGAGGTATCTCCTGGCAAAAGGCGGTTGGCAGAGAAAGCGGGTCTACTAGCCCAAGACCAACCCCTGGAACTCCAGGCCCCAAAAGAACAGAACGAGACCTTGGCTGGTCCTTCCTCCAGCTTTCCTGTACACCTAAGGTCTAGTATTGGTTCCTAAGCAGGCACATAACATATTTTACTGACCTTTCAGCTATCAGCCAGGGGTTGAAGGAGCCTATGGCCTCATGAGATATGATCCGGAGATACTGCTCAAAACGGCTGCAGTAGTCACCAATGCTGTGCCGCATGCTCGGTGGGACAGAGAGGAGAGTCTGGCCTTCTTTCATCTGAGAATCCTCTACAAGGGGGAAGAGGGTGGCTTCTCTTTTCTCTGCTGTCTCCTCTGTGCCCACACTTTCATCCAAGGAACTGAGAATACATAAAAATGGTAAAATAACTCAAAGTCATCAAATAAGCAAGGATAAATAATTTACCCTGATGGTCTGAACCAAAGGCTTCTTTTTCACTTCTCTCTTACACTGAAGAAAACTCAACAACCTCTCACCAACCATTTCTCCTTTTCACTGAACTAACCCTTGACATGATAGGAATTCCCATCCCTCATAATTCCTTAAGAATTCCTGCAGCAAACCTTGCAGTAAGGTCCAGCTGCAGTGGCACAAGCACTAGGGCACTGCCATGCAATGGGGTCACATCGAAGGCCAGCCTCAGGTGCAGCGGTGCACACATGCAACCCTAGCTAACTGGGAGGCAGGGGCAGGGGCACTACAGAACAGTGAGAACCTGTCAGAAATACATTACCCCGCAAGCCCTCATTCATTAAAACACAAATCTTACACTAAGCACCAGCTCAATTCACCAATATGGTTCTTTTTTTTTTTTTTGGGGGGGGGGGGATTTTCACTATAGGGCGCGTGCGCTCGCCAGACAGACAGAGAGAGACATAGAGACAGAAAGCGAGAAATCACCCCCCAGGGGGGATGGTAACGCCGCAATCCCTTCTCCTCCATCCTCCTCTCGGGATCTTGGGCACGCACGCACACGCGCCCGGCGTGAGTTTTAAGTCACCGGGTCCAGAACGCAAACCGCAGTCGACTACATGGGAGTCCAGCGACATAGCCATTACGCTAACTGCTGGTTCCCACCAATGTGGTTCTTTCAACAGTAAAAACCAGCTAAATGTTACTGAATACTGAAAGGCTCCTTAAGATCCAACACACTCAATGCCTAGCTTATAGACATGCTCTTTTACTAAGCCATCTTGGAGTTTGGCAAGAGTTTGTTCAAAAAGGAGAACAAACTTCTGTCTTATGGGAACTGAAGGAATTCAAAAATTAAACACCGCCAGAGACAACCAACTAGAACGAAGTCATGTCGCTGCCACTCACTTGCCATTGCAGGGCCTCTCTAACATGATATTCACGGCTGGATCCTTCCGAGCTACTGCCTTTGTGATCCTGATTGGATGAGGAGACAGAGGCCTTTTACTTGCTGATGTGATTTTTTGGTCTAGAAAAGAAGAGGCATAAAATGACTGCAGATAGTGGTGTGGTGGTTAAGTTGAAGGACTCCCACATGGCCAACTGAAGTCTGAAAATCATACCAGGTATGTGTGCCTATGTACACGTAGGCACCCAGAGGGAAAACAGAGCACAAGGTACTGCAGTCTGGCCAACCCCCCTTACTCTCCGTCTCTCCAGTGAGCTCACACTTAGGGCAAAAATCCAACATAAAAATTAAATTAAATTAAAAAAGGACTGCAGATGGGACCAGCAGTTAGTGTAATGGCTATGTTGCTGGACTCCCATGAAGTCGACTACAGTTCGCGTTCTGGACCCGGTGGCTTAAATCACGCCAGGCGTGTGTGCGTGTGTGCCCAAGATCCTGAGAGGAGAATGGAGGAGAAAGGACTGCGGTGTGGCCATCCCCCCTTGGGTGTGATTTCTCGCTTTCTGTCTGTCTGGTGAGTGCATGCGCCCTATAGCAAAAATCTCTCAAACAACAACAACAACAACAACAAAAAAGACTGCAGATTAAGAAAAGTCGATGTCTATATTAGAGCAATCTTAGCAGCCAATATGCTCTGAAGAGATTTACCTGGCTAGCTCTTAAGCATAATGGGTTTAGTAGTCATGCAATGGGAAAAAGGTTCTTGTTTTAAATACAAAGGTGAATTTGAAAGTTACAAAGAAACAAACCAATGAGGAATCATTTTTAAGGAATAATGTATTACTAGCTGGCACAATAATGCACGTCTGCAGTTTCAGTTATTTAGGAGGCTGAAGCAGGAGGATCAAAGTTCAAGGCCAGCTTAGACAACATAATGAGATCCTATTTCTGAGAAACTAAAATAAATAAAGCAAAGAAAGAAAAAAATAATAATGCATTCTTTCCAAAGCGTTTGCTTGCTTTGAGGAAAAAAAACCCAAGATACCTGGGTTCCACTAGGACTCAGTTACCCATTCAAGGAGATTTAAGTAGTTGGGTTTATTAAACCTTTAAATGCTCTGATTACTGAAGAAAGAGGGGGGAAAATCACTTACATCTGAATACTTAATTAGCTGATTTAATCTGTCTCTGTGTATTGCTGGGAAAATCTGCATGATGACAGTTAAAACAATAATTTGTTAACTATAAGTTGCAGGTTTGGCAGTTCTTCTAAGTTTTATATTATTTAGCATTTTAAATGTATTTCAAGTATAGGAAGAAAATTTGTCCTTCTCTGAAGCAGGAAGCATCTATGTCATTCAACTTTCTCTAACATTTATATGCACTTACTGTTACTGTCAGGATTTTTTTTTCTTCAGAGAGATTTTGCTTCAGGGTGAGTGAACTTGTCTGAGAGACAGAGAGGGAAAATGAGAAATCACCTCCCCAGGGGGATGGCCTCACTGCAATCTCTTCTCTATTCTCTTCCTAGGATCTTGGGCTTGCAGGCACACCTACCTGTTGTTGAGTTTCAAGTCACCGCATCTGGGACTAACCTGCAGTTGGCCATATGAGCGTT